CTCTTATTATCTCATAGCAAATTTCAGCTAGGTTTCCTTCTTCAACTACTTGGAGGCTGGCTTTTGAATGGTGATATCAGAAGAGCAAGGTCCTTTTCCTACTCCCAATCTTGTTCTCTCCCTACAAACTCTACATCCCATTGCCTTTTGTGGTGGTGTTCTGTTTTTTTTTTTCTGCATTCCTCCCTTGTCAACTTCCATTTTTAACCCATTTTCCAGGCCTTTTTATCCCACATTTCACAAATAATTCCTGATCCTGCTAGGGCTAAGGCATGCTTGAGTCCTAAAAGCCTTCATTGGATCTGAGCCGTGTAAGCCTTTAGAGCTTTCTTAGGAGCCAGCTGGGATTGTCCTGCAGTCTTTAACACTGTCTCTATCCTCACCTTGTGAGTTTTGACTTCCTTCTTCTGCATAGGATGTTATTTGATGCAGGGTAGCAGCCTTTCATTGTTACTGTAATAAATTCTTGACTCAAAGAAAATCTCTTCTTAAAATACTGTAAAGTCTGGCAGGGAGGCACAGTGATCAGGAAGGCAGAAAAGACAGGGAGCTATGGCTATTTAGGGAGAGAGAGAAGAAAAAAAAAATAATCAACACCAGTGTTTCCAATTGTAGAGCTGTAAATAATGCCCATGTAAAATTTACTTGCTGTAAAAGGATGCCTGTGATCATATTTTGTTTCCGTGTAACTAATTTAGTGCCTTAAGACTGGTCATGCTACTACTTCAGTCTCGGACATTAACGGTGTAGGCTAGCCCTGAAACTTGCAACATTTAATGATTTACAGCAAGTAAAGGAGCTCAAGATAGCAGGCTTCCAGGGCATCTGGCTGCTGATGCACACTGGTAACCTGTTCCATTATGCACTTTGCTGTTCTGAGTTCAAGGCTGAGGAGATTCTTTGCTGCCAACTACTTGAAGATGCTTTTATTACTTCAGCGCAATTGAAGAGTTGGTTCAGATTGAGACTGTTCTCCCACCCTGGCATCTTTGTTTTGTATATCATCAATAGGAATTTCTGGGGCCTAAGGGAAAGGCAGCTTTTAGTGCTATTCTTTCACTTCCTCTTTGAAACAGTGCCTCAAGTATGCTGTTTTGGGACCAATACATCAAAACCACTCCCAATACACAATTTCTATCGTGTGCAGCTTTATTTGTGTGAGTAATCCTCATAACTTTTTAGGGAGCTTTCATGAGTGAAGACTCTCATGTTGATCCAAAGTCCTCAAAATAAAATACAGGGCTTAAGTAGCAACATTTTACTCACAGAATGTGATGCCATAACTCAATCATACCTCAGTATTTCTTTCTGCTTTAAATTGTGTTGTAATACTCCTTGTAAAAATTTAATTGCACGACAACCTGTGCCTTGATAGCAGAATTAGCTGCTGGGTAAACCATTCAGTTAATTACTGAAACTGTGACCTCCAACTGGAGAGCCAAGAAGGAATGTAAGATGAGTGGAAATATTTTAATTAATGAGCAAATCTTGGACTAGCCAAAGGAAGGGGTAACTTTTGAAGGGTAAACAGCAGCAATAAATTTTTAATTGTCATGATTGGACACCTCTGGCAAATTCACACGTGTTCTTCAGTGCTTAAGTGAACCAAACCCCTACAAGGAGGGGTCTTCTAAAGGAAATTTAATGCTTTTCCATCCTATACTTCACACTCACCTTCCACTCCCATTAGAATTGACTGTGACTTTTCAAGTGGGTTTTGAATTGGCTTTTATAAGTGAACCCCAGAAGCTGTGCTCCATGCAGCCACCAACATTTTCTCCAGGAAGCACTTGCACCGTGCTCAGCAGACAGCTGAACTCTTCCTGCTATGTACTTGGGTCCTCAAATGCCTCTGTCCCATCCTCCCTGCTCCTTTAAGGACTTGATGTGATCGATTTACCCCACAAGACCATCATGTCATCTTCATCTGGAATGCTGTATTGCTCTGAGCCCTGGTTTTCTTTTCTCAGTGCCAACGTGGATGGCTCAGGTGGGACACGCGGTGCTTCTGCCCTTCCAGCAGCAGTCTCAGCCCTGCTGCTCCCCTACGTCTCTGCCTTCATCTTCTGTATCGCCCTATTTTTTAATACTTAGTGGTTTGCAAGTGTATATAGTTAAAAAGCAAAACAGAATAACCACTCCATTTGCATGCATTTGTGCATATAAAATACACTTATTTCTTATAAATTTTAATAACCATTAGCTCTCACAAAGACAGTGAAAAGGAAAACAAGTTTTATTCTCTGATGTATCAGTTGCCAGCGCTCAGACTCATTGAAGTGTGTTTCTAGTCCCACCTCCTTCTTCCTTTCTCTCCCACTTCTGTTTAAATATAGAAACGAGGTTTCAAGCAATATGATTTGAAGCTTTAGGATTCATTAAGGATATTTAAAGGCTTTCTAGAAATGTTTGCTGTTGCTTTGTGTTGTTCTTTCCTGAAAGACTGGGGCTTGCTTCATATCAGATAATTAAAATTTGCTTAACTAGAAAATGAATAAAATGCATAGCTGAAACAGGCAATTGAAATTATCTTTTAGTTTATGTAATACACAGATTAGTCATTGCAACCGCTTTGACAAAGTTTGGCACTTCCCACTTTCCTCAGGAAACAGTAGGAGATAACTTTGTGTTTATTTAGGCATTCATGTAACTTCTTTTTTCCTGTTAGAAAAAGATGTGATAATATTCTTACTCCTTAAGTGGTTATATATGTGTTTTAACTTATGATTTGTGTCAAGCTGTTTTGGCTAGGAATGAAGGCAGCTTAACAAGCACAAAAGCACGTTCCTGGGTTGTTGGTTTTAATTGAATAAAGCTGCTTTTGCTCTGTTAGCTATAGAATAAAAAATAAATGTGGTTTCCATTTGAAGCTTAGCTGACTTAGTGAAGAGAGGAAACATTATTGATGTAATTGAAATAATCAACAGTGTAACCAGGCACTTAAAATGAATGGTTTGCAAAAGGCTTGGTAATGCTAGCAGAGCTGGGAGGAACGTAATCTATGGGAAAAGTCATTCTTAGTGCAGCATTGTCTGTGTGTTGCATCAAGATAATAAGCTGTAAAAATGTCACGTGCTGTTCCTGTAAGCAAGGTGATGCTTTGACAGTGGGTATACAAGAATCTGAAAGCGCTGATTAAATTCAGAGTTTCAGCAGTTCCTGATAGCCAACATAGCCTGAAATTGATTTATATTTCAAGAACTATTATTACGTCTGACTCACCCCCTCCCCCCCATTCACAATTAGCTTTTATTCTGGGTACGATGTAAATACCTGCTTTAAAAATTACTAGCACATGTTATCATCTTCCAGTAACAAGATCATCCTTACAAACTAGAATGAAGACAGAAATAACTTGTGCCACCACCAAGCATTAGTCACATAGCTCTTATATAATTGCTTACGTCTTCGATCAGCATGCTGGCAGCCGGGTGTCTTCGTAATATTTATCTGGAGAAGAAAATACATATTTGTTTGGCAGAGGGATGGATTGAAGCCAAGAGCTATGGGACGTGCTGAGGGGGGCACAGCACTTAAGGGTGAGGGCACCACAACGAAGGAATGCCAGCATCATAGCACTAAACAGTAGGCAGTAGCAGAGGGGGGGCCTGCAGCAACATCTCTTGGTTCTCCTAGGTGCTTTTCACTCTGTTTTACCTTGAAGAAAGAAAAAATACAGAGCTTGAAATACTGAAAATGGCATTTCTGCAGTTGAAAACCAAAACATGATAGGTTTCAGCTTGCTAGAGCTCTTGAACACGTGTCTTACCTGTAGCCCCAAGAGGAGCTGTCAAATGCATGAGTTTTCCTTTGCAGATTGTAACCCTGTCATGTGGCTGTGTAGTCATAATGATGTATTAAAAGTGGGTGGGATTCTCTGGGAGATAAGCATGGGAATTTCCTGGTAAAGTACAGTAATCACTGTGATTCTGTTCCTTTGGGTTGAGCCTGTTAGTTCAAATTCATTAAATGTTTGTTCCTTACTGAATTATAAGACTATTAAATGGAGTTGGAAGCATTCTGTGATCTCATCATAGATATTTATTTCCTGAGACTGAAAAGAATTGCCTGACAATCAAGTTTTAATAAGTACATGAGATCTGAATACTTAGTGATATTATTCTTAGCTTGTTCTTGAGTTTATAAACTGAATTATGCAATGACTTGGCCATAACCATGTATCATGTTTTTAGATCTTCCTTTTCATTAATACATGTGAAGAATGGTGAAGAATTTTCTTTGTGTTTTCTTTGGTGTTCAAAGGTGAAATGTTGGAAGTATCATTGTCCTTGAAAGTTATTCAAGACTCTGTAGGTTTACTTATGTTTTTAGAAGAAAATGTCAAACCAAAATATCAAACAGAATTAAGATGGCCTTTCTTTAAGGAAAAAATGCAATAAAAGTACTAAAAAAAATAGTATAAAAATAACCATAAAATAACTTAATATAATTGTTATAGAAGTCTAAAAACTAAGCAAATGGTCCAGGGAACATAGAGGGGAGGTACTTATAAAGAGTATAAGGTTGCACACGCATACTCATCTGGTAGCAGTTTGAAAACAAAACTAATTAATATCTTTTAATTCATGCAGTACAACTATAGAACTTGCTGCAGGGTTTAGAGGTGAAAATTGTAATTGGGTTCAGGAAGGAAACCAGTAAGTTTGTGGAAGGTAAATTTATAAAAGGATGTTAAGTAAGCCTCTTTTTAGGGGGATTTTTAGCAGATGAAGGCATTTAGGCACCGTATTTTTTCTAAATACAATCTCTTTGTTGTAAATCCTGTATTTATGTTTTCTCACAAACATAAGTATGTATTTCCTCACAAACAGCACCTGTAGTTGCGTGTGTGTGAGGTTACTTTTTAGTGGCTTCGTTGAGGCACTGAATGCAAGTATCCTGACTTTGAGTTTATAACCTCAGCACTTACATAGAAAATATTACTCATAAAGATCTAGTGATGCAAAATGAATAACATACCCACTCTTTCTTTGCTTTAGGACACCGAAGCATGTTTGAGCATATGTCACAAAGTGCAAGCTCAAAGGTAACAGAGAGGAAACTGCGTGGGACTTGTCCTCCTGTTGGTCGTGGAAACTGTGGAAAGCAATGTGTGAATGCAAGCAGTTGTAGATCTTCATGTTTTAATGCCCGGAATGATTTTCACACTGTACATTCAGAGCACAGTCCTGTGAAGCCAAGGATTATTACAGTGGTGAGACCCTGTGGGCATATGCTGAGAAAGATAACCTTGCTTCTGAACAGGAGATCAGTGCAGACCTTTGAACAGCTGATGGCTGACATTTCAGAAGCTCTGGGATTTCCACGTTGGAAGAATGATCGTGTGAGAAAACTTTACAGTCTAAGAGGCAGAGAAATCCAAAGTGTTTCGGACTTCTTCAGAGAAGGTGATGCATTCATAGCTCTGGGCAGGGAGCCCCTTACATTGAAGAACCTGGAAGTGGCAATACAAGAACTTTGTCCTGAAAATCCTTATGCTGCCAGTGCAATTCAGCAGAACGAGGAGCAGTCCCAAAAACTGAAGAGCAGGCTGTGTGATAAAGCTTCAAAAGTGGATGATGGCTTCGATGAGGTGGAAGTTGCCAAGACCTGCAGTGATGCCGTGTCTCCCAAAATGGTAGCTGGAAAAAATCAATCCAAGATGAGGCAAGAAGAAAAAATGAGAACCAAAAAAAAGTGGACCAGGGGGAGTTGGAATGGTGAACAAGGAGTGAGGCCTTCTAGAAAAGCTCGAGAAGATGAGAGGTACCTTAACCAAGATAGGAGTCCTGAGAAAGGGTTAGAAGAGAGTTCAGTGGAGGTACTGAGGTGTGAGAAGTGTGAACGGGAAAGGCAGGCCAGGCAAAAGTTGCAAAGGGAAAGGCAGGCAGAGGCTTCATTTGAGAGCACAGACCTGAATGCACGTGCGTGTCAGAGGTACCACGTAGAAAGAAATGCAAAAATCAGGAATTGCCAGAAAGCTTCAGAAATTCCTCTAGAGGATGAAGACGTTGGCTGGAAAGATAACTGCTGTAGGAGGACCTGGAAGCCTCTACATAGGAGTGTTAATGAAGGACTGGAAAAACAAAAAAGGAGCATTGAGAAGGAAAGGGATCTGGAGAAACATGAAAACCGTGAGAAGGAAGTAGTAAAAATAAAGAAGAATGCTGTAGAAGGGCGTCAGATAGCTCATGAAATGAAGGAAGAAAATGGAAGCAGCTGTGTAACAAACCAAAATGGTTGGCTAATAAAAGACAGTCCAAGGGATGCTGAGAAACCATCTAAAACGCATAAGGATGGTAGAGAGGGACAAAGGGCTAAAGAAGAATGTGCCAGGAGGGAGGGAAATGCTGTACATAGGGAGAGTGACATGACACGACGAGAGAAAACAGGAGAGCGTAGATTGAATAAGGAAGAAAACAAGGCTCAGGGACTGGAAATCGCCAGCCGAAGGCATGCTATAAAAAGCAGAACTGATGTAGAAAACCACTATGAGATTGGCAGGACTATTGGGGATGGGAATTTTGCAGTGGTGAAGGAATGTCGCCGCTGTGACTCAAATCAGATATACGCCATGAAAATTGTTGATAAATCCAAGCTGAAGGGGAAGGAGGACATGATGGAAAGTGAAATTCTGATCATTAGGAGTCTTTCTCATCCCAATATAGTAAGCTTAATTGAAGTATATGAGACCGAGGCTGAGATCTATCTAATCCTGGAGTATGTCCCAGGAGGGGACTTATTTGATGCAATCATAGAAAGTGTGAAGTTCACAGAGCACGATGCTGCTGTCATGATCACCGACCTGTGTGAAGCCCTGGTGTATATTCACAGTAAGAACATTGTCCACAGGGACCTCAAACCAGAGAACCTTTTGGTAAGCATTGCCAAACATTGTGCAGGAGTCGCATTTATTTTCCTTTTTATTATGGATGTTTGAGTAGTTTTATGCAAAGAATATGCAGAGAGAATACACTGTCGCAGAACTGTTTGGGAAAGTGAATGCAACCTTGAAATGAAATCAGCTTTTCAGATCATTTTGCATACATCTGCATTATGCTGCAGATGATGATGTTTGCAAGTAGAAATTCAAATGAAAATAGCCTGGCTTTCAGGGCTAGTGAATATTTGTATTTTTCTGAAATTCTACCATGCTGTTTGTCATCTGGATTTAAGTACCCAAGCTTCAATGTTTTGCATTCACAAAGCATGTACTGTATCATAAGCTGTTTTCCTTGTGGATCAAAATTAGTAAGTGACATTAACAATTTTAATACATTAGGTAAGAGTTCTTGTCCACTGCAGTCACCCATCCTGAAGAGCACTGTGGTAGTCCTCTACTGTAGTGATTTCTATAAGTTTTTCTTCTGTCACGTTCTTTGCTGAAGTAGGAGACTTACTCTCATGTAAATATGCACAGAAATGTTTTCAATATTGACTCTTGGTATGACACCCATTATAGGAGTGTGAAAATAAACAACTGTTCCTTGCCAGTCATTTGTTACGCTCTTCTCCTAGGTTCCAAATTTCATCGCAGGCAGTCATCAAATATTTGCTTTTCTCTAACAGAGCTAATTTGATCTGCTGATGGAAGATTGTAGTTAGCCAAAAAAGGATAATAGACAATTTAGTCCTATGTGCCAGTCAGTTCCTTAAGGGAATTAGTGTTAGCAAGTGTGAATTTCTGGAGAAAGGCAGCAGTGTAGCCTGTAGGCTGTGCAAAGGTGGAACAAAGCTGGGCCTGTAAGGTTTGTATCCAGACCTTTTGATTAACCAGTGGTGTTTATATTTGGTCCTGCTACACATTCTGATTAGTCTGATGAAAATGCTTAAGTGGTGTGTTTGCATAAATAAAAGGGAGTGCAAGTAGCTGGTTTGCAGAAATAAGTATGGTTCTGGACCCTGCCATCTTCCCTTGTTCTGCTATTAGAGCAAAATTTTACTCAGACCTGAAGGAATTTCTTCCAGAAGCTGATTTTCAATTATAAGCCAGGTTCTGCGCCTTCCTCTTTACTAAATTAATCTGGTGCATATGAAACATATGAGACCAGATGCTTCTCTGTGTATCATGTGTAATCTTCACAGTGATACAGTAAGTGTAAAGAGAGGCATGGTTCAGATCTCATCTGATGGTTTTCACTTGTAGTTCACAGCACTGCCATACAGAGATCCATGGGCAGTGGCAAATTTTTGTAGCACAGAAGTCATTGTGTTGCATGCTCTGGCTGAAAGCACAGAAAATGTGTTTCAAGGACAGCCTTGCCCCCCCACTGTTGAGGTATTTTGTCATCTAAGAACTGCATTACAAACAAATCAAGAAAGAAGATTTTACCTCTTCAGGTTTCCCCTTGTTTGTTAATTGGTTGAATAGCTGTTTCAGAAACAGCTTTTTTTTTTTTTAAGTTAGTATATTCAAAAAGTCAAATGAGTCTGTAGATTGTTGGTAATATTGGCTAGCTCATCAGATATCTAAGAAGTACCCCTAAAAATACAGGCCATTTGAGCAGGTGTCTGGCTTTTTGAATTTTAGGGTGCTGACTCCTTAGAGTAGGACAGTTCCAGTTGAGCTTAGTGACAGCCAGAGCTGAACTGTAACAACTATTTGTGAAGCAAATTTTATGGGTTTATCTGCTGTCACTGGGCGAAGGGCTGGAAGCTGTCTGCTGGAAGTGCTGACATGCTGCAATGTCTCCTTTTTGTCCTTGGTTCTGGGATAGCTCTTGCTTCACGTTGTTACACCACAGATTTCTGTCTCAGTTGGTCTCCCTAGGCAATTTGTGCACAGAGGACAGAAATAGGCCCTTACTTTTTCAATGAATCATTTAGGTTGGAAAAGATCTTCGAGATCATCAAGTCTGACCATCACCTAACACTAAGAGTTCCTCCTCTAAACCCTCTCCCTTAATACCATGTCCACATGGCTCTTGATTACCTACAGGAATGGCAACTGTCATCTCTCTGGGCAGCTTGTTCCAATGCCTCATCACCCTATCTGTGAAGGAGTTCTTCCTAATAACCAATCTAATCTAGTCCAGAGGTTTCATGAAAATAAGCATCTGGGGAAAGAAGAGAAACTATTTCCCTCCTTACAGAGGAAAAGGTGCAAATATACTTTGATGTCTAGTGAATTGTGAAATTGTTCACACAGGAACTAGAAACCTGATTTTACTGGTGTGCTGTGCTATTCCTGTTGCTCTTATGGCAATATTCTCTAGTTCAAGACTTCTGTGACAGCCCTCCAGTACCCTTTTTGCCTTTCTCCCTCTGTCTTTCATTACTGTGTCTGCTCACAGCTTTCAAACTCCTTGCAGCATAGCTGTGAGGCAGAAAGGTGGTGACTTGTGCTACCAAAACAAAATCTGTGTGACAGCTGGTGTGAAGACACCTGCTTTGAAACCCACCCTTTCCACTAACAGAATCACCTGGTGTAGAATTAAATGTTCAGCAAGAAAGCCTTTGCTACCAAGCTTCTGCAGTGTGGTGTATTTGGTCTCACAAAATAAGGTGGGCCCTTCTTTAGGGCTAACTGGAAATGCATGGGAGTGGAATTTCCTAACTAGATTTTTAGCTAGGGGCTGCTGTTTAATGTCACAGGTGGTCTTGTGGGTCAGAAACTTAGTGTAGAGAATCTTTTTCCAGGTTAAAACTATAGAAAATGTGAAGCCACATCCCTGTCCCCTTTTTTTGATGTTGGGCATGCATATTTCTGTGTTTGTGACCATAAACTTATATCCTTGTACCAGTCCCAAGCACACTAATAGTGTTGTAGCTGCTTATGAGTTTGAGTTTCTTTCTCTTTCTGCTCCTCCTTTTTTCTTCATGTTTTCATGTGCATGACACTGTGAAGTGTAACCTTTTTATGAAGTGGCTTTGGTTTTGTGACACTATTTACAAATACAAAAAACGCTGTCACAGTTTTCCAAGTGCATTGGAGTTAAAATCCTGTTTAACTGTAGAATCAGAAAATGGCTTGGGTTGGAATGGCCCTTAAAGGTCATCTGGTTCCAATGCCATTGCTGTGGGCAGAGTTGCCAACTACTATCTCAGGATGCCCAGAGCTCCATCCAGCCTGGCATTAAATAGGTTTCATGGATGGGGCATCCACTGGGCAACCTGTTCCAGTGCCTTACCACCCACTAGAAGATCTCCTAATATCTCCTAATAATCAAAATCTCCACTCTTTTAGTTTAAAGCCATTCCCTTTTGTCCTTTCACTATCAGACAATAAAAAGTCAATCTCCCTGCTGCTTATAAGCTCCCTTTAAATACTGCAAAGCTGCACTGATGTTTTCCCAGAGTCTTCTCATCTCTAAGCTGAACAAGCCCAGCTGTTTTTTGTAGGAGAGTTTCTCCAGCACTCTGATCATCTTCACGGCCTTCTTATGGGCCTGTTGCAAAAGCTCCATATCCTTCCTGTGTTGGTAGCTCCAGCCTGGACACAAGTGATTTATACGAAGCCTCACAAGGACAAAGCAGAGGGGGGCAGTCACCTCCCTTGCTCTGCTGGCCACCCCTTTTCTGACACAGCCCAGGATACAGTAGGTTGCCAATGCACAATGTTAGCTCATGTCAAGCTTTTCATTTACTGGGACCACCAAGTTCTCTGCAGGGCCGCTTTCAATGAGTTCTGTTCCCTGTCTGTAAGCATATCTGGGATTGACTCGACCAAAGTGCAACATCTTGCACTTGGCCTTGTTGAATCTCATGAACTGCACCACTCAGCTTAGTGTCATCAGCAAACTTGCTGAGGGTGTGCTCAGTATGCCTGTCTAAGTCACTGATAAAGACATTAAAAAAAGAAAAAAAGTGTCCTGCTGGGTGCTTTCAGTACGATAAAGCTAGGCAGCTTATTTTCTGAGATATTTCTTTGTGAGAGATGGAGAGATTCTTCTGTCTACCAATGTGGGATGACTGAAAGCTCCAGTGCGTAAGAAGTGCTTTCTCCTTAGCTCTTGTTGTAATATACAAGAAGTCCCGTGGATCAGCTTGATTTCATTATGTTGCTATGAGGAATCTAGACTACGAAACACACATGCATAAAGAGGAATATTAATGTTTTAAATCATCTTTTAAACACCCTGATGGATTTCCCAATGTAGATATGAAAACAAACAAGAACTTTGGAGTTATCAGCAAACAGGAAAAAAAGGGAAAGACCAAATTTATCCCTTTTTGAAAACAAGCTTTGTTTTGTGTTAGTATAATATAATCTTTCAGGTGTATGGCTAGAAATCCACAGACAGTATTTGGATATCCTGTGTTCAAGAGAGTAGCAAGCATTTCTGATTCCCTTTGATTTGGGGCTACCACTGCTGGCTTACCTTGCAGCTGAATGGCACAAGTACTTGTTTGGCTTAAGCTGGCCATCTGTTGACAAAATGTATTTGAATGCTGCTCTTCCTCATCTCAGTTAGCTCTTTAGGCAGGTAAGATGAGGCAGCACTTTTGGAAGAACTTGTGGAACCATTTTTGTGTAGTCTTGAATAGAGATGCTGTAACAGGTATCGTGGTAAAGGCAGTATGACCCTCTAATGTTAGAGTTTTTGCTTTGCACCATTTCAAAGCATATATGGCAGAAGTCAGGGGTTACATCTCTTTTGAGAAGAGATTTCTGTGTTACTCTGTAAGTAAATGCTCAAGAGGGAATATCCTGAGAAGCCTTTCTTTGAAAAAAGCATATTTGCCTCAGTTTCTGTTTTGCTGCCAGGTGATGGAAAGGTGAACTGGAGAACACAACATTTGGGATGAAGTGTATGCCCAATTGGTCTATGCTGCCCTTGAGTTATTTTGAGTAAGGATGCTGAGGAGTTCTATGCTGAGGTTTCCAGACATGCTGACAGATTTCATGCTGTCTTAGAAATTATTATCATAAAGCTGTGAAAATATATCTACGTTGCATGGTGTTCCTGGCTGTTAGTGAAATAAAAGGAAAGTTCAGTGATTTTTGTGCTCACAAACATGTGGTGCAGTATTGCCACCTTGTGCTCCGATGTGAGATTAGGGCTATGGCTTTCTTGTAAAAAGTGTAACTGTATATTTCAAGTAAAATTACTACTGGCTTTTACGGATTGGACTTCAGACCTGTATATTCTCCCCTTGCTGATTTGATAAAAAGAAACAAACCAAAAAACTCAATTGTATAAACTTTCCAGGGTTATTAGTGCTGGTGCAGTGCAGGATATTAGTAGAAATTCTGTGTGTGACATCATTTCCTTATGTAATTTGAAAATCCTTATATACATGGTCAAAAAGTGTATTTGTGCTCACGTAGAACAAATGAAATTGAGTATTTCAATTGTGATTTTTTTTTTTGTAATTTTCTACCACTGTTGACCACATTATTAAAGTATTGATTTTAATCAACAACATAGAATCATGACGTGGATAGATGCTGCTCTAGAAAATAACTGTTATTTGTTTTTCATTTTTGTTAGCTGTGGAGCCTACATTGTGTGATGACAAAAAAAAAACCTTCATGAAATTAACAAATTCAATAAAAGAGAAGGTAGCATTTTATCTTTGTCCTACGGAAGCTTTGTCTGCACAGCTCTAGACAACTTCTTCACACTGAGAAGCCCTTCATTTTTTCTTTAAACAGGAAAAAACCTCGAAAGTTTTTTAGTTACAACTGGAAGAGTGCTTACAGCTTCTGTAAAGAAGATAAATGGGAATTAATTGGCTGTAATGTAGGGCAGTGCAAATTTTATCGTGTCTGTACCCCTAGTTATAAAAGAGCATCTTGAATTTTTGGCTGCCTCATGCACTGCCTGATGGCAAAGTATGAGGTGTTAAAGCCTGAAGCATTCCTGTCACATCATATTCTGCTCTGTCTGTTCAAAACCTGAAAACAGATTTTCTTGGTTTTCCTGTAGTCATGTGAAGTCCTTTCGCCTCGCAGTTAGAGACAGGTAATTTCTCATTAAAAATGTTTTTACTTAAAGAATATTTGAGTTTCAGTAACCAGCATTAAAAATACCGATGTGTTTGATTATCCTGCTACCTTATTCATGACTTGACCTTTCAGTACTTTCTCTCAAAATAATGTTTCATTAGCTGCATTACAAATTAATGCTAAGCACTCATGCACACAGAATCTGTGTGGATGCAGGAGGTGGAAACTGCTGGAAAGGCGTGTTGGAGAGCATTCTGTTGGATCAATTTTTCCTGCTCTTAGTGTATGATTACGGTGACTCTCATTTTCAGGGCAGCAGGTATTTGCAGAGTAATTTGGAAAGAAAATAAAACACTTCCTTCAACCCTATTTCTCACTTTAGACCTGCAATGCAGGTAAACTTTTCAGATGTCTGCATAAAATCTGTGGCATATTTGGAAATACCACTCATAAAATCATAGAATTGGGTTGAAAAAGACCTTCAAGATCATCAAGTTCAACCATGGGCCTAACTTAGCAAGGCCCATCACTAAACCGTGTCCTTCAGTGAACCTTAGATGTATCTCTTAAACCTCTCCAGAGGTGGGGACTCCACCACTTCCCCGAGCAGCCCATTCCAACACCTGACCATTCCTTTTGTAGAGAAATTCTAATGCCTACTCTAAACCTGTCTTGGTACATCTTGAGTGAAGTGAGTCCTCTTCACTTTCCTAAGGGGAAAAATAAATCTGTGCTTCATTCCCCTTTGTTTTCGGTCTTCTTCCTTTTCATTTCTTGGAAATGCGTGCCAGAACTTGTAGAGCAAAGTTGTCCTTTTCCATTAGTGCTTTTCCTCCTAACTATATGTGCCATCTATTTATGTGGAAAGAGAAAAGTTTCTGAATACTGTTTGTCAAAATGTGGTTTCCATTTCATTCTCTTTTACTTGCAGGTACCGTTACTGGAACCTCTTACTCTTTACTACAAAAGTACTACTTCCTTTATCTACCAGGCAATCTTAAAATGCCTGCAAACTAAATATTTATTTTTTCATTGAGTATAGGTTCAGCACAACGCAGATAAGTCTACCACACTGAAACTAGCAGATTTTGGCCTTGCAAAGCTGGTTACAAAACCCATATTTACTGTGTGTGGAACACCAACCTATGTTGCCCCTGAGATACTTGCTGAGAAGGGTGAGTGTATAAATCTCTGATTTCTGGCAACTCATAAAATTACTTCTAACCTTGTAGTCATGGAAATATTCCAGAATGTTTCAACCTACTGGTAGGTTGGCTAGCAGCAAAATCTATGAAAGGATAAAACATTTCTTAGCTTTTGACAAATACAAGCATGGTATCAGTCATATTTTCTTTATTAAGGTCTATGTGATATATAGCTGTGATTTTTGAAGCAGATTTGAAGCAGACAAAGCATTACAGCATCATAGATAATGATTGCTGAAATTGGGGAAAGAAGCAAAATTTTATCTTGGAACATTAGGATGGTCACCCTTGTTTCGTGTCTGTAACTCAAACAGTTTTTCAAGGCCCTGTAATAGTGCACAAGGATGTTGAACACGTATGTTAAACTTATTTCACAGGCCAAAGCATGGTTTACCTCAGAGAGAATTTTTGGTATTTAATATCCAGAAAGATTCAGACCTGGAAAGGAGTCAATTTTTATTAATTACTCAAGAAAAGCTATTTCTGTGTCTTGTTCTGTGGAGCTGGGTTGCACATCTCATACTACATTACATTTCAGTGGAAACTTGGCACTCTCTTAATTCTTTTTTTTATCTTTTTAAAAGTAATGAGAGAGCTATTTCAGAAATATATCCTGCATGTTTCTCAATTAATCCCCAGTTGACTCTGGTCTTGTTAGATAACACTTGTGAAACATGCTGGAGAAGAGAGGCATTGTGTGAGAACTGTGATTATTAACAGGGAGGATCAGCTTGCAAGTGTGGTGTACCAGCCACTTATTCTTCTGCTGACCTCGTCCTTTTTAGAAACTGGGCAAAGCTTCTCTGTTTCTTTGAGGATGGAATGAAAAAAGAAATAGTTCCTTACCAATTATGAGAAGAAGGTTGTTTTTTTTGACTGTCTTCTTTCCTCTTCCCCCCCCCCCTCAAAAAAGTAAAATAAACCAAACAAAAAAAAACCCCAACCAACTAAAACAAACAAACAAAAAACACCCCAATAAAACACTAAAACTTCCATTAAAAGATAATTAGCTGTGATTTGTTTTTTCTTCCTTAGGCTATGGGCTTGAAGTTGATATGTGGGCAGCTGGTGTGATCCTTTACATTCTGCTCTGTGGTTTTCCCCCGTTTCGCAGTCAGGAGCGTGATCAAGAAGAGCTGTTTCAGATCATACAGCTGGGTCACTATGAGTTCCTTTCCCCATACTGGGACAATATTTCTGCGGGTAAGATTCATGTATACCAGTTCTGAAAATTGATAAAGCTCTTACCTAGAGTGGCTTGAACGCATTAAACTCCTCTTTTCTTCAGAACAGTGATTTTGGTGGATTTTGGAGTATATTGCAAATATACTTGTTTTATATGATTACATGTTTTACGTGTGAATTTAATCCTCTCAAAGTAGCATCTGCTGTGAATATGAATATCAGGTCTGATTTATACAACAGATTGCTCCCTTTCTGAGTCAAGAACAAAGATTTTCTCACCTTACTTGTAAGAATTGCCCCTGAGGAACAAAAGGCATCAAAATTATCTCCAGGCTTATGTTGCACTATTGTAAAGATGTGTGTAAAAGAATCTCAAAAGCTGAGAATCAAGTTCTTGCTCTGCAGAACGCAGTGTGAGTTTTCTGTGGAGATAATTTTTGAGGTCGTTTCTTTCCTCTTGCAGGCTAGTAGTGTCTTTTCTGCACTCTTCAAAATCCAACACCCCAAAACCCACCTCTCCTGTTATCTTTTAGAAACCGTGCTCAGCAGTGCTGTATGACTTCTATGTTCTTTGAGGGACAAGATACCCAATGCTAATTCCTATGAATTAGAACACCTAGCCATATGCCTTCAGGATGCCTTCACGATTAAATTCCCTTCCCTTTCTTCTGTCATTGCTCAGGGGAGATTGGAATCAGTAAAGAATGTACTGGAGTTCTAACATCTCCTGTCCCTAGTTCTAGATGCGGTTGCTACAATACCTCCGGGGGATGGCCATTAAAAAAATATCATTATCACAGAATCACCAAGGTTGGAAAAGACATACAAGATCATCCAGTCCAACCATCCACCTTTTACCAATAGTTCTCACTACACCATGTCCCTCAACACAAAATCCAACTGTTCTTTGAACACCTCCAGGGTCGGTGACTCCAACACCTCCCTGTGCAGCCCATTCCAGTGCCTGACCACTCTTTCAGAGGAGTGCTATTTCCTAACATCCAGCCTGAATCTGCCCTGGCGCAGCTTGAAGCCATTCCCTCTGGTCCTATCACCAGTTACATGAGAGAAGAGGCCAACCCCCAGCTCACTGCAGTCTCCCTTCAGATAGTTATAGAGAGCAATGAAGTCTCCCCTGAGCCTCCTCTTCTCCAGATTGAATAATCCCAGCTCCTTCAGCTGTTCCTCATAAGACCTGTGCTCCAGACCCCTCACAGCTTTGTTGCCCCTCTTTGAACATGCATTCTGATAAAACTAACAAGAAAAATGAGGACCTTTTGTTAGGCGTAACTCTCAGAATCATAACATTGCTTTTCTTTTCCCCTCTTTTTTTCATAACAGCAGCAAAAGACCTCATTACCAGGCTGTTGATAGTGGATCCCCAGAAGCGCTACACAGCACGGCAAGTACTTCAGCATCCTTGGATCAGAACAGCTGGAAAAACTAACAACAGAAATTTGCAAAGGGAAGTAACGATAAATATTGAGCGTCATTTCCGGACCCAGCGCCGGAAGGAGGCTGTGGATAAAGACACGTGAAATCAATGAGTTCATCTACCCTTCTTTTTTATTAATTAACAAATTATTTATGTTTTCTAAATGGATTTGGCCTTTAGTTTATGGATTTTGCTGGCAATTGCTAATGCCTCTCTTTTGTTTTTGTTGATTGTGAGATTCTGAAGAAGGACAGAGGTCAAATTTGCATCCACCTCCCTGTATTTTTACTTGCAAGTGTCTCTGACAGCAGTGGTACTAAATATTTCCCAGAAGGTATCTGTTATTTTGAACTTAATGTATATCTTTTTTAGATTACAAATGTTTCTTTTTGTCTAACTTCAGTGATGACTGTGAAATGCTTTCTCTTGTCTCCTTTCGTATGGCATCTTCTTTCATGAGTTCTTCTTTTTGCTTTGAAGTTGTGTTATGTTTGTAGCATTGTCAAAATAGCTGTCTGCTCACACATTTGGCACTAATACTCTGAACTGATTTCTCACCAGTTCCTGCTAGCAATTTAGAAGGTGAGAGAAATATAAATAAATGAATAAGTATTTAGCTATAGGATATGTAAGATAAAAAATACTATTTATTAAGTTGTGAGGGGAAAAAGAAATCATTATAGTTGAAATTAGCTATTCTATGATATCTCCCTTGGCAACATCTTTTCATGGGGTGTTCTCAGGATCAGAGTAATAGTTCTGTTAAACTGCTGTAGTTTGTATAGTATGATGGTTTCAGTTCTTTACAAGAAGAGGTGGGAAGATACCATGGCTGATACAGCTTCAAGACTGTAATACCTTTCACAGTGCTTTTCTTCTGTTCTGGAAAGTGGGAAGTTAATGGTGCTGAGGAAGCATTAGTTCTTTTCCCAAAAGTATATTTGTAGAATTTTAACCCAAGCTTTCTTCTCATACTGAATTCTTTCTTAGGAACCATCCACATGGATCTGTGACTTTTTCAAGTTGATGGAGAATAGAGAGCTGGGAAGCTGCTTCTTTGTCTTAAGTTAGCTCTTACCTTCATGGTTTCCTTGTTATCAACACGATTCACAGTTGAATTGCTTTTATACACTTTTCTGTGTAGTTCAACAAACTTCTTTTTTCCAAGTTATCTTTGAGGACTCTATCTCCTCAATTCCACAAGAATGCACAATGGTATGAAATGACATTACAATTCTACTCAGGAAAAACAATTTCTTGTTAGTCTATGGGAAGGTTTCCCAAGGTATGTGTCAAATGCTTCATTGCTTATGTTACTTATAATTGGAGTTTTTAAGAAATCTGGTGGGGAAGGTTACCATCCAGAGAAAGACCGTGACCTGGGAGATCTTTTGAATCTCAAAACTTTTGGTAACTAATGGAATCAAAAAAGCTCTTCAGTTGTCTGATAACGCTTTGTCCATGAGTTGTATGGTAGCAAATAACACAATAAAACTACCAATTCTACTGGCATCAAGTTCATAGTCTGTAGAATTGAATGAGGGTATTTCAAAATGACAGACGTCAGAGGCATTTTAGAATCAGTAGAACACTTCCATAACTATAAGAAAGAATATTTCTGCTGAGTGCTAACATTTGTGAACTTTCTGAATTACTAAGTTGTGTGTGATGCCGTCATTGTGTTTCTGTTTCAAGCTTTGACAGTTTTGCCTCAAGATTGAAAAGAGAGCAGAGGCAACTTGGTTCATACAACAGAACTGCATTTTCAGTCAAGCTGACTTATTTTTAGTACGTATTGGATTGAGGCTGGCTGGGGAATTCAACAGTTTGTAAAACAAATCAAAACTGTACTGTGTGCCCAAGTGGTATTTATATTCCATGTCATACCTCTGCTTTGGAGGCCCTGAGTTAAGAAGACTTCTTGAAAAGAAGAATGAATTTGAGAGCTTTTCCTATGTGTAACCTCATATTCTAAATGTGTTGTGTTCTTTGATTGCTAGTGATAACATCTCCTGTGCTAATTTGTCTGTCTTGGATATGAAACTATGGAAAAACAGGTTATGATTTGCAATATTATATTTTGTACTTATTTTTAATATAGTACTTTAGGAATCAAGTTTGAAGTGGGGAAAAACGGAACTATTATCAACAATTAAGCTTAGGGCTTTGATATTGTGTTACAGGTTTCTCTGTTGCCTTTAAGAACCTGTCCACAGCTTTCTTCATGGTGCTCAAGGTGGAGGAGTTGCGTGTGATGAATATGAAAGTAATATTTTTTCAAAGATCTTTTTCTCTCATGTTCTATAGGTCCCAGTCTGACCAAATACAGACAGCACAGTGCGCTGCCACCAGTGTCTGTAAGCACCAATGCTGCTCTGGCAGCACTGAGGGTCTGCTTTGGTTTTGCTGAACATGTGGCACTAAGCCCTCCTTCTTCAGGTTGGAGGCTCAGAAAGCTTCCGGGTGCTTCTCAGGGCTTTTGCCACCTCCTCTTTCTTTCCTGCTGAGAAAAATGCCTCTTCCATTGCTTTTAGTGTCCTTTGACTTCTGAGACACCAACATCCAAATATACACTTCATAGAACTGGGTCATCTGTATTTCATTTCCTAGCAACGCCCATGCCTCCAGTCAGTGTTCCTGTTTTCTTTTCACTATGCCAACACTTGGAATCAAAGCTTCCAGCCACAGCTGTCACAAAAGTCATAGAATCACATAATATCCCAAGCTGGAACAGACCCACAAGGGTCATCAAGTCCAACCCCTGCCCCTATCACACAAAATTCAAAGCCTGTGTCGGAGATCATTGTCCAAACACTTCTTGAACTTTGGCAGTTTGGGTTGTGCCCACTGCCTTAGGCAGCCTGTTCCCACTGCCTTCTGCTGCAGACGCTGTCCCTAACCCCAACCCGGCCCTCCCCTGGCACAGCTCCATGCCGTTCCCTGCCCTGTCGCTGTCACACAGAGCAGAGCTCAGCGCTGCCCTCCGCTCCCTGTGAGGAGCTGCAGCCGCCATCCGGCCTCTCCTCAGCTCCTCTGCTCTGGGCTGAGCAAACCAAGGGCCCTCAGCAGCTCCTCACGTGTATTGCCCTCCAGACTCTACGCCATCTGTAGCACTAGAATGGGTGATTGTAGGTGTGCACAAAGGTACACGTGATGTGTAATCAAATTGTCAACCTTTCACAAGATGCGCTTCCCAAATAGATAAGGTAAGTGGAGGATTCCACTGTCCCTGTAGCCCACAGCCAAAATGGCAGTAACAGATACGGCAGGTACACCTATGGTGCCGGTTAGAGCTTATACAGAGATGCAGATTTAATGGTTTTCTGACATCAGCTATTCTGCAAAACTGCATTCTGTCATAGATTTTGTTGTTGTTGTTGTTAGACACAAATTTATTTAAAAATAGATTTCATTTGGGGAAGCAGGCATAGTATTTTAAATTGAGTTATTTGAGTGTCTGATTCAAAGGAGAGAGTTTCTTAGTTGCTTGTGTATGACTTCTGTTAAAAATGCTCCTTTCCTGCAGGTCTGTAATCTTGATTGAAACTGTAGAAATAAAAATGTATTTAATCTATCAGTGATGTTGTAGAAGAACCTGCCTTTTCTCTGGATGTGGGCATGTGGAATGAAGTGTGTGCTAGTGAGAACCTGTACGTGTTCTCATTTATTACATATTGGTCATTAAAGAGACCACAGCCACCTCACTACTCTTAGAATGACGGCAGGCTGTTAAGAATGACTGACTTTTATGGTAGCCACATGAATTTATTGCTCTGCATTTTAAATGTTATATATATAGGGGGCTAATTAAAACTGATTTAATGCTTTGTTGTTTTTGCTTTGTTTCCCATGTTGCTAATAGCTGAAGTCAGAGTCCAGCAATATTTTATTGAAATGAGCCTTGTCACTGCTATGTGTTGTTTGTTCAGAAAGGATGATCCCTTGTATCATCCAGCCTGCTGATTCACTCTGCGCCTTGCTTCGTAAACAGGTGTTGTATTCCTGCAGAATTCTGTCTTTTAAGGTGAGAGCTGTTTTGATAGCATAGCAATTAGAAAAATGGAAAAGTTAACAACCCTGAACTGTTACTGCAAGTAAGTTTTGTTTTCTGAATGTGGAATGTGAAATGAAGAACTGAAACAACTAGAAATGTAGAGAAAAGAAAAAAGTATTCCTGCAGTAAGTAAGTCAGCAATCCAAGCAATGGGAGCATTTATTTGCCTGCTAGAAATACAGAGCCATGCAGTACATTGCTAGAGAGAAATGCTACAACAATCAACTTTCAGAAATTCTTGGAGAATGCTGTACTGAATGAGGAGTGTAGGACTGATTAGAAAGAATAATAAGTTCTTTCTAACCACTGGAAAAATGGAGCACATCATATACAAAAGGCTGTTTCTGTGTTGTTATTGCTGTGTTGGTAATGCTTTCTAGATTTCAGTGACTACATCATATTGTAAGACTGCCTTTCTTATGGGAACGAAAACAAGCATAAAACATTATAAAAAATGTTTAGTGTCAAAGATCTCAGTGATGGGAATTTTTCCAGAAAATGGAAGTGTACAATTGTTAACTGTTATGGTGAGGTGTTTAGCAAACCCTATTACTGACTTCTCAAAAGGTGCCCTTCCATCATGCTGGACATTTGCAACTACACATCTTGCAGCATTGACTATTTTAATGATACTGTAAAGCTTCAACGTACAAGCTTACCCATAGTGGAATGATGGAACTAAATGGCTCATTTTATGTGTTTCAGTTTTGCTGGAAGCTTACCGACAAATGCATGTGGTGACTGATGGGTGACTGAAAATTATTACTGACTGGCATTTAAAACGGAAGTTTAATACTGCTCCCTTTAAAAAAGTAAGCATTTAAGGCTGTTTAGATAAAGGCTAGCACATATTCCAGTGTGTCATTTCAATGTACTTAACAACAACAAAAAAAAAGCAACTGTGTAAAGTAGCCCCAAGAAACTAAGAATATGACTGGAAAAAAAAAAAAAAAAGGAAAAAAAAGCAGGAGAAAAAGTTACAACAAAAGCCCCTTTTTTTTCAGATGGTTGTGTTTTTTTGAGGCAAATCTGCAGAGAAGTCTATCAAAGGTTTAACCAGTGAAATAAATAAATACAAAAGTCATCACTCTCACTGGTGTGTAGAGTTCCTGTGATGCTTCCCCAGTGACCTCAGTGTGCCCTGGGGATGGCTGGTTGGAAGCAGATGCTATAGCAACTGCTCACGTCCTCCACCTGCATCATGGCTCCCTAACCATGGTACCAGAGCTAAGTCCCTCAAAAGAAATAAAACCAAAACTGCTCCACCATGTAGACAGTGAATTTTATAGAAGTTGATACATAAATGCTTTCATAACTCACGCAATTAATGTGCAAGGTACAAATAGAGCTGGATGCTGGAATGTAGCAGTAATAAACTCCTCCTGGCAGATAAATCCTCACAGAAATTTGGAAGTGTCTGGTAAGGTTGTAAAATGAGAATATTTCAGAAACTGTGTTTAGGTACACAGTTCACCTGCAGAAGGGATTCATGAAGTACAAGGAAAACATAATGCAGGTAAAGCCCTTCATGTCCAGAAAAACCGATCAGTTTAATTGCCAAGCAGGTTGCTGAATGTGACTGCAAATGATCCTGTTTTGTTTTTTGTTTTTAATACAGTAAAATTCTGAGGGTAAGAACTTAAAAATTAGCATCAAAGGGTTCAGCTGATCACTTTCTGTGCTAACAGTGGTAAGATTTCTGTTACTGATAAGCTTTCTGCTTCTGCAATAATTAGCTTTGAAAATCCCGCTCTTCATTTAAAGCATCTCCTGCTGATTGTTGGTCTTTTTATTATTAAGATTTTATTCAGACAGGACCTGAGTTTAGTGCCATAGAAATTTATGTAGTTGCCATCACTACAGATTCCATCACAAACATCTTTGAAAATGCATACTTTGAAATTAAAAGATATTTCAGTGTTTCTGACAATATTTCTTGGATTTCACTGGGTTGCAACTGATGTACGCTGGTGGAAACTTTTGAGCTTTAGTTGTGTTTGACTATTTCTTGTTTTTCTGCAGGGTGCTCAGTATTCCCCTGAGGTTTCTTGGGTCAGCAGCTTCTCTGGCAAGTGCAAGTTTGTGCTGATGACATGAATGTTGTGATGTGTGACTGCTGTTCTGTAGTATTGATGGAGCTGCTGCTGAAGTCACGCAGTTGGCCACTGTTAGTGCTACCTCTCCATGTAGCAGAAACAAGAATACCTTACTCAAAATGAGCTAACAGTAACTGTCATTAGGTCATTGTTTTGTATTGTCATGAACCACTGGTGAGATCAGTACAGTTTAGACAATTAACAAGATAGCAAAGAATTCAGCAACTTCATTCCAGCAAGGTAAATCATCAGGAATCTGGATTTGCTGCCTTTGAATTTGTTTCCAATGTCAGATGAACTGGTGGAAGAAAAGCAAGCTTGGAAGAGATTTGCTTTCAAGCAAAAGACTCCTTGCTGGCAGGCCTGAGCGATTTTGCTCTAGGAATTTATTCATTTATTTAGTTTATGTCCAAACTAGATTTTGTGAGTGCCAAACTAAAATCTTCCCAGTTCACATATACGTACCCATTTCCACTGTTAAAAGGACAGTTCTGCGTGCTCTTAAAAAAGCATTTTCTATTTTCATGTCATGTTACTAGTTTTTAGCTGTGATCTTTTTTAGTGCTGAACACCACTAGCAAGATAGAATTAATATTGGACACCAAGGTGACTCTCATTTTAAACATGCTGCTTTGTATGAAAAAAAGAAATGGTTTGTGTTGCTGAGGTGTGTGGATGTCTTTTGTTAACAGGGAGCTTTCCTACCCCTTGGCTTTCTAGTAACTGTAATGGTAGTTCTGGGGATCCTCACAAGCCTTAATGAACTTAGCCCCTGATTATTAATAAGGTATTAGCACCTTGATGCCTCAGTAAATGGCTTTGCAATAGGCTGTTTGTAAAAGCAAAGCAACCTTAATTCCTTCCCTGGAGCAATGTCATCATTGGCTGGAGGCCCTGGCCATCAGGAGTTGTGCAGTCAGCAAAGGCTGTCGTACACAGAACCAGCAAGGAGGGCTGCTGGCCTCCAGATGTGTCTGATTCCCATCCCTTGATGGCTCAGGAGCAGGGAAAAAGGCTGGTGTGGAGGTCAGGAGCTGTTCCCATCCGGCAGAGGCACGAGGAAAACTTCATGACTACAGAAGAGCAGAGGCTGTTAGAGCAAAGTCTGACATAAGCTTGTTTTCTCACTCCTGCAACTGTGGTCTGCAGCAGTGCTGCTGCAGGGTCAACTCTCCTTGAAATCTTTCCACTTCACCCTTTCTGTTTCCAACTTTGAAGCCTCAGCTACTGGGAATGGTAAGAAGAGCACTTAGTGCTGGTACAGCACTTTGTTCTTTAGGAACCTTTCACACACGTTAACTAATTAAGCTTCACTGAGTCCTTATGAGGCAGGTATTTATTCCAGCTGAGTGTTTGCATTTATAATTAAAAGTATGCTAGACAAAATCCTGCTGTCAGTCATCCTAATTGACTTAAATCTCTAATTAAATAGATTTCCCCAAGCAAGTTCAGCATCTGAAGGCAGACATCGAAGTGAGGCTCAGCACAAGAAGTTCATGGAAAGGAAACTTCAGAGCTTTTGGTCAGAGATGTCTGAGGCTCTAGCTGGGTAAAGGGGTGATCACTTGGAAGCCTCCAGAAAGCAGTTACTGCTTCAAAACTGCATGCAGCAGCTCTGCAACCCTCACAAAGCGTATGTTGCTCTACTTTTTTTGTGGAATTTCCATAGGAAGGGAGGGAGAGAAGCAAGGGATGCATGGAGGCTGCTCTGTCTTCAAGAAAAGGCACAGACTTCCTCCTCTGAATTCTTGTTCTGCTCAAGAATGTCTGTTTCCCTTCTTGCAAGATGTTGTCATCTAAGCTGCGTGAGGTTGATGTGTACCAAGATAAACATTTCTTACTGCAGAGCTAAATGGCAGTTGATGCTTGGGGTGCCAGTAGATTATACTTAAAAGATGAAACATCTTCTGTCTGGGTGTCTGGGACATGTGAGTATAAGGGCAGCTGGAGAGTGATTGACAAATGGCGTTTTTTAGTTATAACCACATAAATATATCAGTGTACATTATAAGCATTATGTATTATTCACTCTTCCTGGCCAGCCAACGGCACTGCAGTGAACTCGAATCAGAAGAATGCTGAGCAGATCCACCTGGCTTTGTGCATCCAGTGTGGAACTCCTGAACTCAGCTCCCTCCTTGCACTTCCCACACCCTACACTCCAGTGTTTGAAGCCATGTGCCACAGCTCCAAGGTGTGGAGAAGGGCAAAAAAGTCACAAAGGCCTCACCTGATCTGGCAGAGGTTGCCAAGAGGAAATCTTGGGCTTGAAGATGTACCTTAGAGCCTGTTGTCTGTCAACCCACCCTTGGCCTTTAATGTGACTCTCCAGAAGGCAGGAAGGCATTTCAGGAGGTCACTGCTCCTGTTCCAAGGTAAGATGTCTGTGCCATCGCTGACAAGCACTGGTCAGCGTCTTGATGAAGA